TAGAGCCAAAAAAAAGGACTTTGACTTGTCATCAGAACAAGAAAAAACTCCTATTATAGAAGCAGAAACAGCAAACACGCCATATTTACCAAATAGTAAACCAAGTAAAAACAACAATCAAGATAATGAAAACTGGGTCAGTAACATAGAACAAGAAGAAAAACCAGTTGGTAAAGGCAAACAAAAAGCTACTTCTTCTACAAACGAAAACAACAAGGTAAAAAACAAGACACATGCAGTAGCAAATACAGAAAACAACAAACAAACCAATACAAAACACGTGCATATCGCATATGACAAAATTAATACACAAGACAAAATCATTGATAGCACAACATCAAATGATGTGAATGACAAACCAGCTAACAACAAACCCAAACAATGGTCAGATTTATTCTCAAAGCTGAAAGGAGGCAAGGCAACCTTCTCTAACACAGCACCCAGAGACAAGATCTATTCTAAGAATGAAAATGCACTTGTTTTGACATTTCTAAGCTTACCAATGTACCTACCAATGACATCATCTTAACCCTCTACATCAAACTGGGAGAAGATATGCTAGCAGCAAAAACTTACATTATCAGAGGCAGACAGGCTCTCTTAGAAATAGCCTTCTCAGATAAAAACAAACAACAACTGTATGCTTCAGAAGGGATTACAATGTTTAAACAAACATTCTTTGGATATATCCCAGTTAATCTTAAGCATACATTCCTTTCAGTTAAATTGAAGAACACACCAATGGGCAATAAAGAAGTTATCAATAAACAGATTAAGGAAGCTTTCCAGGATATCGGCACCATTGCCTCTATAAAACCACTTTTATATGAAGGAACCCCAATATGCTCTGACCAATGGATTGTAACTTTTGAAATATCAAATGATCCAAACCTGTCGGCCAGACTACCTAGACACATGCATGTTGGTGACCACAAAGTCACTACAGACTGGAAGGAGGCTTCAAAAATATGTTATTACTGTGAAAAAACAGGACATATTAAAAAAGAATGTGCAGAACTTAGAGCTTCAATGGAACAAAGACAGTTACAAAAAGAATAAAAGAAATACTTAATGGAAACAAACAAACTTAACCAAAAAATGCAAACAGAAGATATATCCTACAGTTTAGAAAACCCATATATCTCAGATATGGTCACAGAACAAGATGGACCAAACACTAATGTACCAAATTCTAATCACTCAAAAGAAAATGACTCAATCAATACTATAGATGATCAGGATGTAACTTTTGAGGAAAACACAACTAGTATCCCTATTTCAAAACATGGTTCACCTTTAAAGGAAGCAAATCACAAGAACACAAATAATGAAACACCTGCTACAAACTATGACCAGAATATAACAATAGAACTATTGAACTGTAACAAAGAAAACAAAATGAAGAGAAAGGATTTACTTTAGTCACTTCAAAAAAGAACAACTGAAAAAGAAACAAGAAGAAAACCCTTACAACAAGTGAGGAAAATAATAAAAGTAGGACAGAGAATGCCTGAACAGGCTTCTCTCCCTACTAGTTAATCATTTCCACTCAGAACAAACTGTTGTGTAGCCAACATATCTTTTTATATCTTATGATTAAAATTGCCACACTGAATGTCAAGGGCCTTAACAATAGAGTTAAGGCTTAAAAAACCCTAACACTTTTAAAGTCTTATAAGTTAAATA